ATTTTCGACATTCCTTATTTGATAAAATTCTTAATTATAAGTTTCAATATTTCAAACTGAAAGAAATACTGCGTAAAACCATTACGATACTGTATTCATTAGGAAAAATTATGTAATGGAAAATAGAAAATTATCGAGTTCCAGCGATAATGACAGCCAACGTCAGTACTAGACAGCCGGATTATTACCTAATCGAAATACCTTCCATTCAAGCGTTAAGAAATTGCATTTTCCTTGATACAAAATTTTCCTATTAAAATCACTGTTATTATAATGCCAATATAAATATTTCTTTGTTGCAGACAGTGAGAGTCCCTCGACATATTTTCGCAGCCTCAGCTAGTTGTAAGCAAAATGACCCGACTTTAAATGCCTACAGTATTTAATTTCAAGCTAACTAGAATGATTACATGACACAAACCGACACCATATAACTGCACACATCATGGAGAATCAGGTATTAATACAGAATCGAAGCTTTCACTTATTTCGTATCACCTTTAAACGTATTGAATGTAATTTCTAATCTAGGTGCCACTGGACGATAATGGGCGCAGGAAATACCGAAAGTACTTCAAGTGGATAAATGACGTATCGGTAGAGCCGACGATGTGGATGTACATGATGGCATTCATGATAACGTCGGTGGTCGAGCAAGCCTTTTTCGTCTACAAAGCTTGCAGGGTGGACCATGGACTCTCAGAGGAGACATGCTCGAAGCTGAACGACAACCAAACCCTAAAAGCCGAAGTACAGGTACATTTTCATAAGATTAAGCGTTTATTGCTATTTAAATAACGAGGCTTGGCACCAGGAATAAATAAATGCGTGGTCGTTAAAAGATCGTAATGCTAAGAAACTTGGTAGTTTATTCGTCACGTTGTTTAGGACGTCTATACAAAGAGTGGCTCTTAGGTCAAACGTTTTAATTGTCCTAGGACCTCCCTCATCGCTAGTATGACCTTCGCGCTATTTTTTATGGCCCCTTGTTCCCAAGTCCGTGCTAAAAGGTCTACATCGATGGTCGCCCTTTTCTCCATTACTTCATATTTTCTAATTTTTTTAGACTTTATCAAGATTTTTTTCTTCTAACTCCAGTATTTAACGAGTTAAGTGCACTTAATTGATATTTTATTGGTATTGACGAAATCCGATCGTCTCACCATAGAAATGGCGAAGTTTTGGCAAAAAATTTCGATTTTACTCAATTACTCTTAAACCGTTGGACTTACGAAAAATACTTCAAATAAAAGTTGTTTTCCTTCTAACTTCGATATTTAACGAGTTACGTATGATTATTTGGCATTTTATTGATGTTGATAAAATCCGACCATTCCAGCGTCGAAACGGCGAACTTTTGACAAAAAATTTCATTTTTCCTTAATTACTCCTAAACCGTTGAATCTACGGGAAAATTGTATAGGACCTTTCTTGTAGAGGACGACGAGATCTACAATTTCTGTACAACATTTTTTTGCTAGCATTAATAG